CATATACACATATATGTATATACACACATACATACACATACATACATACATACATACATACATACATACATAGTATTCCATTTTCTTCTTCGTGTGTCTTATCTCCATCCCCCTTTGCGAATTTGAGTCTTTGATTCCTCTATTTTCTGTTATTATTGTCTCGAATTGTCTCTATGTATGCTGAACATTCATTTCTAACTTATAAGAGAAATAGCAATTCTCTTATTAAGTTCGCAATAAAGGTTGCACTATTCTGCTTCTGTCTGCCTGTTAGTCATCTTACTCATAGTTATGTTTTGTTTTGTTTTGTTTTTTTCATTTTGTTTCAGATGGGCTGACCCCTTTTGGTATTTCCTGTAATTCTAAGTGGGGAATTCCCTCAACTTTTGTATGTCTGTAAAGGTCTTTATTTCCCCCTTTATATGTAAAGGAGAGCTTTGCTGAATACATTATTTTTGGCTGGTAATTCCTTTCATTTAATAGTTTGAATATTTGGTTCCACTCCTTTCTGGCTTGTAAGCTTTGTGCTGAGAAGTCCAAAGGTAGCCTAATGGGTTTTCCTTTATAGGTTACTGTCTTATATTCTCTGGCTGCCTTGAGAATTCTTTCTTTGTCATTAATTTTTGATAATTTTAATGTAATATGTCTTGGAGAAGGTCTTTTTGGGTGTTTTGTTAGCTTCTTGAATTCAAAGCTCCAGCTCATTCCTCAGATTTGGGAAATTCTCATCAACTATTTGTCTGAATATGCTTTCTGATCCTTTCTCCCTCTCTTCTCCTTCTGGGATGCCCATTATTCTTATGTTGCCTCTCCTGATGGTATTAGCTAGTTCTTGTATTTCTCTTTATTTTTCACTCTTTGGTCTCTCTCTTCTTCCTTCTGAATTATTTCTAGATTTCTGTCTTTGATATCACTGATTCTGTCCTCTATCTGGTCAGCTCTATTTCCTAAGCTTGTTATTTCACTCTTCAGCTCTTTTAGCGTGTTCTTCATCTCCAGAAGTTTTGGTTCTTTTTTATGGTTCCAATCTCATTGCTGAACAACTCATTTTGCTGGCCCATTTCTTCTAAGTTCTTGGAATTGTTGATCTGAATTATTTTGCATCTTATTGGAATTTTTTCACAAGTGCAATCGTGAATTCTCTATCATTTAAACTGCATATTTCTATGTCTTTAAACTTATTTTCTGGAGATTTTTCTCTTTCTTTCTGAGCTGCCTTGTCACCCTGGTTATTCATAGTGTTTGCTGGACTATTTCTCCGCCCGGGCATTAATGGCAATGTATTCTGCTTTTTCTTTTCTTTTTTTCCAGAAAGACATTATATAGAGGTCTCTCTTTAGCCTGTTGATAAGAAAGTGGTTTTCTTTTGATTTCCAGCAGGTGGCGTTCCAGCCTCTTGGATCTCTGCTTTGACGCTAATAATGCCTTTTTTCTCTCTGATAGATTAAATATTCAAGTTGTGATCACTACTCTCGGTCCCAGTCCATCAGTGGTACCACCAGTGGATTTTTGTTTCAGTACTGTTTGCTCAAATTTCCCTTGGGCTCCCCGGTGCTAGCTCTGGGAAGATAGGGGGTGGAGGGAAGGCATGCTCTAGGTTGGTGAGTGGGGTTTGCTGCTAGTCTCAGTGTCTCAGTCTCCTGCTTCACATCCATAGCTGCTAAGAAACAGCTACTACCCCTCTGCACTTAGTTCCCGCTCTGCTTTCTGCCCTGATCCCTGGGTTCTGCTGCATGAAACTAACTGATCCCTTAGGCAGGGCTGTTCCAGGAAGCAGCCATAATTTCTCCCCTTCTCCTTCTCCTACAAGGAGCTCCTGGCTGCATGAGGCAGCTTCTTTGTTCCTCCCAATCTACCCCCATGCCTCCTGTGGTTCCGACCTCTGAAAGCTCTTAATGTGCAGATCATTCACTCAGACGTGCTTGTGTGCAGGTTGGGTGTTATTTCAACTTACTGTTATTTCAAGGAGAGAGATCCAGGGACAGCCCTCACTCTGCTATGTTTCTAACATCTTCCATATTACATCTTATGCCCAAGCTCCGCTGCTAGACTAACTGCCAGTGCATCTTCAGCATTCGGGCAAAATGTTTTAAATATGAATTTCTTTTCAATTTATCCTGGCCTGTTCTTAAATTTGTGGATTGGTGTCTTTCATCAATTTTAGGAAATTCTCAGCCATTAAATCTTCAAAAATTGCCTCTATTCTACATTTCTTTATGAAAGTCTTATTAGATATAAATTAGACCTTCTCAATCTATTCTTCAGGTCTTTTAACTTCTTTTATATTTTACTTCTTTGTTTCTCTGTGTTACATCATGATTAATCTCCTCAGATCTGTCATTCACTTAACTAATTCTCTCTTTGGCTGTTAGACCCATTCATCAAGTTTTAAAAATTTCAGATGTTTTACTCTCTAGATATTCTTTTTTATTAATTTCAAAATTCATTGGATCATATAAAACACATATCAAAACTTTTTAAATTTCTGTGTCTGGTAAGTGTAGGATTTGAAGTCTTTCTGGGTTTGATTTGGCCTTCTGTTGTTTCTATTGGCTCTCACTCAGTATACATTGTTTCTATGCGTAATCTTTCCTCCTTCTTAATTTCCATCTCTCTCTCTCTTTCATCTCATCTCATCTCATCTCATCTCATCTCATCTTATCTCATCTCATCTTCTCCTATCTCTTTTATCTATTTTTACTATAAGTTCATATCTCTTGAAATTTTTTAGTGATTTTTTTGAGGCCTGCGTTGGTGGGGCCATTCAGTTATGCTAGATGCTTGGGAGCACATCTTGCACTGGACCATTTTAAACTAAATTATCACCTTGAGCTTTCTTAGAACAAACAGGTATTGTTTGGTCTGGCAATTTGTGTGCTTATTGGCTTGCCATTAAAAAGTTTTAGGAGATCTCTTTTCTCTTGTACCTCAGCACCAAAACTCAAGAATAACAAATTTCCTTGCAGCTTTAGAGGTATGATAATTTAGAAAGCACATAACCATTTGGAGTACTAGCTTTATGTGGGGAGCTTCCTATTAGACTTTTTACCTAAGCAAGCTCTGGGTTTTGAACACTCTCCCAATCAGGACCATATACGCAATTGTGTGCTGCATAACTTTAGGGGGTATTTTTTATATAGATATATATTATAGTCTATATGACATATGTGGTGGGCCTGTCCTCATTCCCATAAGATGGTAAAAACTAAAGCTCGAGTTCACCAAGTTCAGCAATTGCCTCAAAGTAAAAGCTGCGTTCAGTGCTTTGGTTTTATAATTCTATAACTGAGAGACCTTAAATGAAGAATAAAGATAGGGTTTCCTCCCTTCTGAAGTCCTTTAAAGGGTAGTATCTTATAAACTGAATTAATTTGCCAATCATCATTTCAACAAAAAATATCCACCACTTGCCCCATTAAAGGAAACACAGCATGATGAGAGGGTGTTTATTACTTTGCTTTTTTTATTTTTAGATGTGGAATTTCCCGTCGTTCTCCAGCCTACAAATGCAAATGAGAAAACACAGCTCATCAGAGAAGGACCTCGAAGCTATTGCACAGACTCTTAATATTGAGCCCATTGGGGGTCCACAGTACCTCCTCTTGCTTCCGCTGTGTCTCCAGGTGGTCATGAGGGGAGGGTGTGGAGCATGAAATGCTGTGAACTTTCCCACATTTGTATTTTATTTTTAGGTTAGGAAAAGATAATTGCTACATAACTTCCTTAGTATGCAGACTTACTCTTTGAGTAGAATTCCTAATGAAACACATTCCATTTCAATGAATAAAGGCCTGAAGAGTTGTTTTATGCTCCTTGCATAAGGTAAGACAGTGGCACTAGACAGGCATTTTGAGCCTGTCCTTTATGTGAGCCAGACCTCATTCTTTACAGGCTAAAATAGCATTCCAAAACAGAGGCCACTTTTCATCTATTTAGCTAAATGTAATATTCATGTCTGCCATAAATATCTTCAGCAAAATATACTTGAGAATTTAGGAGGAATTTTTCATATGTGTGGAGATTTTTCCCTGTCAATATTCAGTATGGCTACAGAAACATTTCAAGAGATAGGAGGAAATTATTATGCAAAAGAGATGGGCCACAGTATTTAAAAGTATATTTTTGAAAGATTAAAATTTGTCATTTACTAAATATTGACAAGTAAAAACAGGGAGAAACAGGTATTGTGTGTACTTTTTAATTGGCAACAAACACAAAACTTTAACCCAGTTAAATGTTGTAAATGGTCCAAAAAACTATTCTGAGCCCAAAACATCCCCAAACAATGTGTGCACCATTTTTAAATAAAAATAAATTGTGTAAAACTACCCTAGACTAGCCAGACTAAGGGAAAAAAGCATATGAGGTAAAGAGTAGAATTCTAAATTCTATAGCCTAAATTTAAATTTAAAGGCATATCACTTATGCCATTTTTGGTGGGATTAATTACGTTGACTAGAAAATGCTCAGCTCTGTATTTATGTTGAACATTTAAGCTTAGAGATCATCTCTACATTTACTCGTTTGATCCCTATATTCATTATGTGATGGAAACCATATGCTATTTCTCAAATAGCACAGCAGCAAAAATATTTGTTTTTCTAGGTCTTTTTAGATCTTTATGTACATTGAACTTTTCAAGATCCTGTTATGTTTTTATATAATATTATGAAAGGTCATTTTTTTGTTTGTTTCCTATTCCCCCTACCACCAAATTACAGTTAATTGAGGTTAAATATACATTGTGAAAATGGTGTGATAGCTGACAATTCTGACATCATTAAAACTCTGTTCTAACTCTTGAGTTACTGGAATTTTTTTTTTTTTTTTAATCGACAGAATCAAGTAGACAGAGCCATGGTTTGAAAGTTAAGAGACCTGGTTCTAATCTAAGTTTTCACTAACTCGCAATTCGACCACATGAGATGAGAGTAATATGGCTAATCTCCCCATGACTCTGTTTTCATATTTGCTCTGTCACCTTCCAAGTTGCTGTAAGACCAGAAGAAATAGTCGAGGTGAAAGAACTCTGAAAAATCAATCAAGTAGACAGAGCCATGGTTTGAAATTTAAGAAACCTGGTTCTAATCTAAGTTTTCACTAACTCGCAATTCGACCACATGAGATGAGAGTAATATGGCTAATCTCCCCATGACTCTGTTTTCATATTTGCTCTGTCACCTTCCAAGTTGCTGTAAGACCAGATGAAATAGTCAAGGTGAAAGAACTCTGAAAAATCAAGTGTTTAACAAATATAAGGTGGTCTTACATCAATGTGTATATGTGGACAAACATAATGTGACTTCTTATGTATATAAACTCTCACCCAACAAGACCCATGAAGATACCTAACACTAACAGCTTTAGTGGCCAGCAAAAGCTCAGAACTGTATTCAACAAACAAATGCTATTTTGCATTTGAAGGGAACAATAAGATAAACAGCCCCTGTGGATAATTTGAACCACTACATTTCCTTCCTAAGGACTCTAAGCAAAAATCAGGCCTATTTTTGAATAGCAACCTGTACAACACAAAGCACATCTTCTCTTTCTCCCTCAGATCTCATTTTCCTCTCTCGCATGATTTTTTTTTTTTTTTTGCTTCCAGTCCCAGTTTGCCCAGAGAGCTGGTATAAGACGAGGACAGGGCATGAATCAGAATCAGATGGTGGAGTTAAATTCCCAGAGAGGTTCTGGCCAATATTTCCCACAAAGGGCTAGTTCCAGTTACAACGATGTGTTGCAAATGTAAGCACATGAATGCCTAAGAATGAGGAAACGAATCCCACAGAATGCCCCTTAGCTACATAGAAACAAGGATGGACTCTTCATCTGAGGAGGGGCCACTTAAGCTTTTTGTGAGGGTCAACAGGAGCTGCCATCTGGAATCACCTGCAGTTATTCTGAATCCACAAGCACCTGATCAGAGAAGCATCAGAGAAAGACGGAACACACTGACCATGATCTTCAGCATGGTTGCATGGCCCTGATTCATGCAGGGTCAAATGGACCAGCCACTTCAGTGGCCTACAACCCAATCTTGGCCTCCAGGCTACCAGAGTAGGAGATTTCATATAAAGTTTCATAGGTCATCCATTTATTTATTTATTTTTTTTGCTGTCTTACATTAGAACATAATGTGCATTTTCATCAAAAAACACATATCTTAATTCTTTGAGAATAAATGACATTCTATTTCTACATTTCAAATGGTATGTACGCTAAAACACGCTTGACGTGGCCTAGCCTGGAAATACACTTACCTGGTAATGCACTGCCTGATCTTCTGACCTACAGAAAAGGTTTCAAATAAGGCTACATGATCTCTGTGGTAGGCACAATAATGGACCCCTAAGATACTTATGTCCTAATGTCCAGAACCTAGGAATATATCACCTCTCATGGCAAAAGGGACTTTGTGAATGTGATTGTTACGGACCTTGAGATGGGGAGATCATCCTGGATTATCCAACTGGATTATCCAATCTAATCACATGGGTCCTTAAAAATGGAGAACCTTTCCTACCTATGAAGAGGGAAAGATCTGACCACAGAAGAATGGTCAGAAAGATGAATGGTCAGAGATCTGGCTTAAAGATGGAAGAGAAAGGGGGTCATGAGTCAAGGTATGCAGGCAGCCCCTAAAATCTGAAAAACATGAGGAAATGAATTCTCCTCTCAGCCTTGCAACAGAGCCTGCAAACACCCTGACATCAGTGTCAAACTTCTGACCTCCAGAACTGTATGAGTTTAACACTGGATCAGTGCTCCTCGCTCGTTTCTTAATTGTCTTTATTCTATACTTCTCTGTTTATTCATGCCCTCACCCTGAGTCTTCTTTACTTCATTTTTCTCCTCTGTCCCTTCTCTTCCCTATTTCTCAGGACTCCAGCTCCTTCCTCTCCTCCTCCCTTCTCCCACTTCCACGTTTTTTCCATCTGACCCTCAATTCTCTGTTTTATTCTCCTAACCTCTCTGCTCACACTGTCAACTCTCTACCTTAACATTTGCTGGTTTCACAGATAAACTGAACCATTGTGAATCTACTCCAACTGGTGGTGGAGGGAGAGATTACAAATAATCTGGGTAACAGAATATTCTTAAAGAAATGTCCCCCCCGCAACCCCTAACTTCAAGCACAAATAATCACAATGCGAACAGTTAAAGAGAGAACAAAGTATTTTTCGAACAATTCTCTGAGTATATTGACAAATAGAAGTAATTTATAATGACCACATTGATTATTTGAATGTATGAAAAGGTAATTTATTGAGACATTAATTTTGTTTTGTCCTTACTGCTTTAGGAGACACAAAGGAATGAAGGCTTTCCTACCGAGCTTCACTTTAAAAGGTCACTCTCTGGCTACTATAGTCTTGGAGGTTAAAAACAAAGGTAGTCAGACACCTGGGAGACAACCAGCCAGGCTTTTGTTTGGGAGCTTGAGCTCTTAGAAGGGCCATTAGAAAAGTGCTTATGGAAACTTGAGGAAGAGAAGTAACCCCATGATGAGTGCTCTAGACTAAAGATTGGTTTGGGAGTTTGCTGGGGAGTTCCCAGAGTAGCCCAGACTTGTGTCCCTACAAAGAAGAGCTCCTATGACAAAATTACACTTGGATGCCTAGGTGACAAAATTAAGTCATGGCCACTTTGTAGCAATAATGAAAGATTCCTGTGCCCACATCTGGCTCCTCAAAGGAACCGCTCATGGTTGGACATGAGACCTCAGGAGCAACCAGGCTGGAGCAAGATTACGGGCCTGAAACTCACTTGGAGAACAAAGACATAACCCCTGCAGACCTCTCACAACCCTAGGAAGGGGAGTGACTCTCAAACCCTGGCTGAGATAAATTTCTTTCTACTCTGTTAAACTGAAGCTCTGAGTCAGAGTTAGATTGATTTAGAACATAGAATGTACTTAGAGCATCAAGAAACTTCCCCTAGATTTTTTTCACAAGTGTCATTTCTCCATAGGCTTTCCCAGACCACCCTACCTAACACTGTAACATCCCCACCACACCCTTCCCATTCTCTGTTCTTCTTCTTAGTACCTTTCACTAATATACTTTTTATCTTGATTACTCTCTGCCTCCCACACCACAAGGGCAAAGATTTTTTTATCTGTGT